ATGTCTTGCTTCAGGTCATTAATAACTTCATTCCTGAACTCATCTATGAGGCTCTGGAGATAGCACTTTATGTCTATTGGTGCCATGTCTGCTATTGCGTGTTTCTCAGGATTAGGGCCTGAGGACCCTTTCTTGTTGCTCCCTCTTCCCATATTCTTTGTTCCTTATATATAAGCGTATATAGGAGGCCCAGCTTCCTTCCCTGTTGGCCACAGTCTGTTTGAATTGTGCCGACTAGGTGTTTCCGCCCACTGCAGCGCACCAGGGAGACACAGACCTGGGCAGTCTATGCCGGACCCACCCCTCCAGGTCAACCTACTGAAGGCTTCACCGCTAGAGTGCACCCCCAGGCGCTGGGACCTGGGTTGGGCTAGCCTAACTGGATCTCAGCCAGCGGTGTCTCGCAGTCTAGGCACTCCCCACCAATCCTGCTTGAGAGGGGGATATGTGACTGAAGTCACTACAGCATCTCGTTCTGGGAAGTCTGCCGGGTCTAAGTATGTCCTCCACTGAAGCCTCCTTCTTTATGGAAGGGTCCTGATCCGCCCATTCACTGCAGGTCGATGCAGGGCACCCGGCCAGCCCCACTCCCAACTCCATTCAATGCTTCCCATTCTCTGAGCTTTCATGCCTCTCTCTCCACTGTGCTGACCAGGACACAACAGCGGCTGCAGAAAATTCAGATTGCAGTTTCCAGTGGTGCGAGGTCCGGCTTCCGTGCTGAGACCTTATCTGTGCCTGCTGTATCACTGGGATTGCGTTTCTAGTTGGTTTCTCTTAATTTAGTTCGTCCCTGGGTCGGCAAAGAATATCCCCCCTTGCCTGGGACTTCCTGCCTGGCACGATTCCTGGATTTCAAGTGCAGTTTCTCAGAGAGCCTCCGAGGCTGCTGCTATCTATCCGCCATGTTCTTCCGGACTCAGCCAATTAACTTTTAAGGGTTTCTTTTTTCTCTCTTTTTTTTCCTCTCTTCTTTCTTCCTTCCACATCTTCCTTTATGATGTTGATGATCAAATGCAAGGCTTCACACATGGTAAACAGGAAAACTCTACCACTGGCCTATTCTCACAGCCCTAAAGACTTTTTCAAGGTGGGGTTGGTGGTGCACACCTCTAGAACCAGCAGTCTGAGAGACTGAGGCAGGAGAATGTCAAGTTTGGGCCTAGCTCATGACTATGCCTCAAAAAGAAAAGAGGCTGGGGCTCTAGCTCAGTACAAAGTCTCCGACTTCAGTGACAAGTTTTTTTATTGGAAAAAAGCTATTAAATGGGAAGCAAGGTTTGTAGCTTCTAGTTTCTGTCAGTCTGTGTTCCTCTTTACAGTCACCTTCATCCTGTCTGGAAAGAGCGATGTGAGTTCCTCAGCAAGCAATGCATCCGTTGATTGGCTGTAGAAGTCTTTATGACACCTTCAGTTTTGAGATACTCACATACCAAATGCTGCATGCTGGTGGATTTTTTCCTTTAAGCATTTTAAAGGCAACATTGCATCACCTCTGACTTGCATAGTTTTGGTCAAGAACTCTATGATAATTCTTGTCTTTTATACGTATTTTTGGGTGTTCTAAGGCTTTTGTATGAACGATTTCATCCACTTGATGCTGGTGGACTTCTGTGTATACGCATGTATGTTCGTATGTGTGTTTTTTTTTAAATCTAACTTCACGTTGGTTGAACTTTTTGGACCAAGGGTGTATAGTTTTATTGAATTGGGAAAACTTTCACCAGTATTTCTTCAACTGTTTTTATATTTCCTTTTTTCTTTTCTCTTTCTGGAAATTCAGTAATTAGCTGTTAGGATATTTATTCTTGTTCCACAAGTCATGGAAGCTGTTTTTTCCTTCTGCTTTTCTCTTTTTCTGTCTTACTTTCCTCCATTTCTGTCTTCTTTTTCTCCCTAAATTCTTTTTCCTCCTTTTCTAGCTTCTTTTTTCTTTTTTTTACCTCTTTGCTTTGTCTCAACAGTTTCTGCTTCTATGCTTTGAAGTTTGTTCTTTATTTCTTCAGTGTTTAATTGACTTAAATCTCACGATTTTTCTACTCCACGTTTTAATTTTTTCTCTAGATGCTCCACTTAGTTTTTTATTTCTCATTTCCAGATTAGCTTCATTTTTTAAAATCTTTGAGCATATCTTTAAAAATCTACATTAGCTGTTTTTAGGGTTCTTGTTGGTTACTTTTTGAGGGGAGTCAGCTCTGGTCCTGTTTCTACTGGACAGTTCTAGTGTAATTTCTCTTTGCTGCTTCACGTGCCCCAACTTTTTTGTTAGGCTCTGGACAAAGGCATCTGGGTACCTTTTGGAGTTACTGCCGAGCGTTTGTGTGTTCTTCAGGGACTTGGCCAGGCTGGGAGCTCGTGTGTTGGGTGGGCTCAGGGACCTCTTGGGTTTGTGGCTCCCTATTTCTTCCCTCCTTGGTTGCTCTTCCCTGGCCTCCTGTGATTTTGCCTATGTGAATGAGAATGGAAACCAAAACTCGGGGATCCTCTGCCTCCATACTCCTGGCTCTTTCTCTGCTTAGCTCCCCTTTCTGCTTCTCTGGCCTGCAACCTGTAGCAGCTCATGCAGCCTCACGTGTTCACCTGTGCCTTCTGCCTGGAAGGATTTCCAGGCTGATTTGGTGCTTGCTTCCTGCCCACACATACTCACAGGGTGGTTTTGGGATTTGCTATTTTTCTCCTTTTCTAAGGGATCATAGTTCTATCATGCTTTGGACCAATTTCTATCAAAAAAGGTTATATATTTTCTTTCTAGTTTTATATTTGTGTATAATGAGAAGATATGTCACTGAGCCTTCCTCTTGCTGGACACAAGCCCATCACCCACAGCTGAAAGGGGAGGTTTAATTTGGCTTGTAGTGTGGGAGGGTTCAGTCCATGGTTAGCTGCTCCAGCACAGGAACATGGATGCTAGAAGGGTATAGTGGAGCAGAGCCGCTCAGCTCATGGCAGCCAAGAAGCAGGGCAGGGGGCAGCATCGGAGGGTGTCCCTGGATTCCTTAATCCAGTGAAGTTCGCAGAAGAGAATTCATTGTCACGGGGTAATCAGAGATTCCCTGTGCTGTGCTGTGCAGACTGGACTGTGACTTTTACTAGTGTTAATGGATGGACACCTCTGTTAACAAGATTCAGATTCTGTAAAAAGTTGTGTTTTGCCATCAGTGAACTTGCAAGGGACTTCAGGAGGAGAACTGGTTCACAGTGTAAGGGGTCTGAGTCTTTAATCCTGGTGTTCAAGACACAGTTCGGGGCGCCCTTACATTCTGTGGGCAGGGTTCAGGTCCCTGCACATGGCTCAGAGGGGGTCACAGTTGCCACTCCTCAAGTCCTGTCTAGAGTGCAGTCCTGGAAGCCAGGCAGGAGAGGAGCTGTGCACGGAGACACAGGTCAGGCAGAAGGGGCAGACATGCTGGGAGACACCCTGCGCTGAGGGCACCAGGCAGTCCCGTGGGAATTACCACAGAACACCTCATCTTCCTGAAGTTCCATTTTCTTGGCTTCAAAGAAACCATGACAGTCGGCTGACTTCCAGAGTCTGAAACTCTCATTTTCCAGGGCCCCAAACTCTCATTTTCATGGTGGAGATTCTCAGAAACCCACTGTGTATTCTGTCGGCTCTAGATGAAGACCTGGCGCATGTGATCTTGCATGTGCAAGGTTTTTCCCGCTGCTGTACTAAAGCCCAGCTCAACCTCCTTCCTTTCTCTTTTCTGAGATGAGGTCGCACTGTGCTGCTCAGGTGGGCCTGGGACATGTGAGCCTCCTGCCTCAGCTGGGTCACAGGTGAGCCGACGTGCCTGGCTTTCAGCTAGCGTCCCCCTGTTCAGTGCTCTCCATTATTGTTGCTTTTCACAGGGGCTCCGGGGCCACCAACAACCCTCCCACGTGTCGTCTCCACTTTTTCTACCTCCATCTGCGATACCTTGCCTCCACCTCTTTGGCTGCTTGAAGGTTGGGCTCTGGGTTTAGTGTCATGTACATGGGAAACTTTTCTTGAAGGAAAGAGCTGGCGCTGAGGCATGCTGGGCACCTCCCAGAGGGATTTGTTATTCTTCTCGGCTGTCAGGTTTAGTGCTGGCACGATCATGAGGCTGTGAGCTCTGTGGGGACCAGAACACAGGGGTTCCCTGCACACACGCACCAGGGCCTCGCTGTGCACACGCTTGGTGAGAATTTAACATCTGAGTGGATCGACTCAGTCACAGCTCAGCTGTGGTGTTTTGTAGCTGCCCCCTTTTCTGCCTCAGTTTCCTTGCTTGATAAAGAGACAGAAGAACAGTGTCTGTCCATGGTGGTGCTGTGACACCCAGACAGTGCCTGCTTCCTGTGTCCTGCCGTCCAGCGTATAGGTGGCCGTCCAGCTGGCAGGAGCCCTGCCGGCCTCTGGGGTCCAGCAGCTCCAGCCTTTCTATCACACTCTTCATGTCTGTGTGGTGACGTCTGAGGTAGGCAGGGCGGCTTGGCCTTGAGGCTGCAGTGGCCAGTGTGTCCAGAAGCTGGAACTTTACCTTATGCTCATCTTTCCACTAGCTGGGGTAACCACTGGCACGGACAGGCCTCCTTCCCCTGGCTGAGGTGGGGTGGGGCAGGGCATGGGCCCTCCTGCCCATCACTCCCAAGAAGGAGCAGGTGACCCCAAGCTTCCCCTGGGTGCTGGGTCCTGGCCCCAGGATCACTTTAGCAGAAAGGTCATCACCATTCTTTCAAATACTGAAAACGCTTAGAAGCTCTTACAGCGTGCTGTCTTCAGCGCCCTGGTGGCAGGAAGCTGCTCTGCCCCTGGACACTGGCTTGCCTGTGTCCCCACACTCAGTCCCAGGCAGCTCCAGCTTCCTCAGCCCTCTGCCTAATTGTGACGAAGCATCAGTGTGGCTGAACAGAATGTCTGGTTTTATGCATCATGTCTCTGACAGCGGCCGAAACTTCCTCATTTTCGCTGGCGTGTTTCAAGGGTGCGTTTTGAGAACACGACCATTCACGTACATTTGTTTTAATGTCCATAGGATGGCTGGGGCCACCGGCTGGCAGAGATGGCATCTGGGAACCGCTTTGGTGCGAAGGGCAGGCGCAGTCACAGAAGGTGGGGGACCGTTTGCTTCGAATGTTTTACTGTTTGTAACAAAGGCTGAGGATGGTTGAGCGTGTTTGGTTGGGGATCATTAAAATCCTGAAGCTGGTGGCTTTTAAAAGCTGCCTCTGCCTGGCAAGCAGGTGACAGGGAGATGGAAACATCAGGCTTCCTTCTGTTCTTTCTCCTTCCTGCTTCTGCTCTACTTCCCTCCCTCCTGCCACTTGCCTTCCCATCCCTCAGTCAAGCTCACAGTCCATGAGCTTTAACTCCCAACAGCAGCCCGTGTAGAGAGGAGATGATCCCCTTTCCAGGGAGCTTGAACAAAAGAGAAAGAACTGGCGGAGGGGCGCAGATGGAGATGAGTGCGAGATGCCACAGCATGAGGTGGGGGCTCTGGGACCTTTGGGTGGCTCGCAGTCAGGGAAGCTGCCTGGGGAGGACGCCCCAAGTGGAGAGAGGTCCTCTGTCCTGTGCAATTTGTCTTGCTTGCTCCTGCTGCTACAGAACGTGTGCATGCAATCCCAGGGCTCTGAGAGCCTGAGATAGAGGATTGTGAGTTTGAGTCTCATCTGGACAGTGTGGCCTCAGAGATGCAGCTTAGCGTGAAGGCCCTGTGTCCTATTTCAAACATGGACAAAAACATGGGTAAGTCCAAGTTATGCCTTCCTAGGTATGGTCAGGTGGGAGGGCCGGTGGGCACCTCTCCCATCTTCCTGGAACCTGGACATTAGCAGTTCAACAACAGCCGTCCTGCTGGCTTGGGAAGTTTAGATAAAGCTGGTTACAAAGGAAAGCAAGGCTCAGCCAACCTCAGTCTCTCTCCCTCTCTGTGTCTCTTTCCGCCCACGGGATATAAATGAAGCCAGAGTTACAGCAGCACCCCCGGTATTCCTGACCTTCCACAGTGTCACTCCACTTTTCTCTCTCCTTATTCCAAACATCCACTTACCCTCCCCCGAAATTGCTGATCACAACCGGGTTCTAGGAACAACTCAGCCCAGTTGATTCCTGGTCACCGGCAAGAACCGGGTCAGGTCTGGCCATTCTTGGGGGCTGTTTTCACAGTGCACCTCTGCTTCAGTGAGCAGTGCTTCACTGTTTGGCCATGTCAGTGTGGTAAAGGAAGAGGGGCACCTGGAGAGTGGTCAGTCATGCTGGGACCCGGAAACCCTCCCTGGGTCGACTTCAGAATTCTGCAGTCAGTGAAAGTCAGGTTGATGAAATTTCATGTCTGGGACAATCAGCATTTGAGCATTTTTGAGGGGCAGTGTGGGAGATTTCATGGCCCAATGCTGAAATTCCTTTGACATGCAGGACAGCCTGTTGAGGATGGTGATGAGGATGATGCTGCCCCAAAAAAAGAAATTCAGGTAGACCAATCCTAAAAGAGGCCGGAGAACTAAGCGGGCTTAATCCAGGTGGTCTTTCATCTTCCTGCTCATCACTTTCACTTGCATCTCTTTTTTGGTTGTTTTCAGTGGCACAGTGCAAATAACAGTTTGATAATAGTGTGATCATCAATTGACTGTTGTGAGCTTGAGAAGTTTAGTAAGAGAAATTTAACTAAATCAGCACAGCAGTTCCACACCGTAAGGTGCAGAAGACACAGCCCAGGTGGTTCCTCGCCTGGATGATAGGAAGGGGAAATGCGGCAGGACGGATCTGCTTCTCTTCTTCAGAGGAGCCCCAGCCTTCGCCTGCAGCTTGGACATCATCTCGGGCTTCCAGTGCAGACTCGTTGGCATCTGGTGCGAATTCTGCATCCTCCCAGCACTGACCGGTCAGCCTTCTACCGCAGACCCTTCGGCCTCCTGACAGGAACCCGAGAGGGATGCTGCAGTGAGCCCCAGACCTTGGGCTGGACGCTTCAGTCTCCAGCACTCAGGTGTCCTCTGCACGCTTCCTCATCCAACCCTGCAGGTGACCATCGTAAGCTGATCTTGTCATTTCTTACATATTTGTATATCTGGTGTTGTGTCTGTTTTCTAGGAATCCTGACTGATCCAACTAGAGTCTTTTTTTTTTTTTTAATCGGGGAAATGACTTTAGAACGAAAGGAATGGGTTTCTGGAAGCTCCATTTTATCCTACATTGTGGTACTTCATTAAACTGCTTTAAACCATCTGCTCTTCAGTTTTTCTTTTCCTTATGTATTTGTTGGTTTTTGAGGCATGGTCTCTCTACGTAGTCCAAACTGGCCTTGAACTTATGATGAGACTCCTGCCTCAGCCTCCCTAGTATTGGGATTTACAGATATGTACCTCCACACCCAGCGTTTCATTTTTAAAGGGGACAATAATCCATTGCATTTTAGGAGGGAAATCGGCAAATATCTGTTTCCTAAACTAGAAGACTGAGAACTGAGAAATGAACTTGTCTCCCCATTGCTGTAGTTTCTGCCTCATGCATCAGACAGAAAAAGCTATTTGCAGTAGGGCTTTACATGGCCAGTTGTGTTAGGAGATGAGCCGTTCAGTTCACCGTCATTTGGAGCCTGCTCTTCAGCTTCGCTCCAAGCCTCCTCGTCAGCAGGGCCCTGCCAGTCAGAGGTCCCATCCCTTGGAATGCCCATTCGTTCACGGTGTAGGAATTGGGTGTTTTCAAGCATTGGTGCTTGGATGCAATTGAAAATAGTTTCCCCAGCTGCCGGTCTGCTGGGTCTTGCCGACCAGCTGTTTTCCACAACCACAGAACTGAAACATGACTCTGAGTGGGGACACGTCAGCCGGCTACCAGCAGCTGTGGAGCATCACTAAGCCATGTCTCGACCCTTGATGTGGTCAAGGCCAAGGGCAGGCCTTGTTTGGAAGCCCTAGAGAGGGCAGGCAGGCTCAGGAGCCCACGCTGGAATGTCTGCTCAGGACCCCTGCTCTCCATGGAGACCCCCGGGGAGCAGAGGTCACATTAAAATCAGCTGGAAGCCTGGGAGGGTGAGTAGAGACCCTGGCCTTAAAACATGTGGTCAATGTTACCCGTTTCATGGAATACGTTTCAAAGATGTATGTCAATAATACTTTCTGTCTGGAAGGAAACTTAATGATAGTGAATTTTTCTAAAAGAAATATCTAATTTTAAAATTTTTCATTAACATGTAATGCTTGTACATATTTATAGGCTACTGTGTGATAATTCAGTGCATGTGTACAACGTGTCGTGGTCAAATTCGGGTCAGCAGCATTTTCACCAACTGGAATATTCTGAGTGTTTGGAACTTTCAGACTTTCTGCTCTGGCTGTTTTGGAATGTAATGTACATTATTTTAGACTAGTTATTCTACTTGCTATGAAAAATTGGAACTAATTCTTCCTGCTACTTGGGAACCTCAGGTTTGTCCCCTGTGAACCAGATATGCTTAGGATTTGGTCACAGGGTGGTAAGAGTGACTGAGTGGAAGTTGAGGCCACGTGTCACCTCGCTACCCTATAGTTGTGAAGCGTAAATGTAACCAAAAGATCTGGAACTAAAGCGACTGCTGTGCAGATGCAGGCCAGGGTGGGAGTGGCCTTGGTGGGTAGGGGGAGGGGGTTCTCCTTGGGTGCCCGGATGCAGAAAAGAGGAGGAGGTCGTGGAGCCCTCTGGCTTCCGCTTCCGGCAGCTTCCTGAATGACAAAGAGGCAGTGGAGCCTTTGTGTTTTCCCTCTGCCTCCTCAGCTTCTGCAGGACTCTGGGAAGGAATTCAGTGTACGGGAGACCTGTACAGTCCCCACCCCACCTCAGCGCAGGATTCCTTGGCTTCCTTCCCCTTGTTATTTTACGGACAGCACGCCTCCAGATTAGTAACTATTTCAGGGATTCCTGCTCCTTCTCTGGACAAAGAGAAGCCTTCCAAGCATTTGCAGCTCTCCACATAACAAAGGCACCAACCCCTCGGCTGTTATTTTATCTTTGGATCCAAGAATGTGGCCACGTGTTCAGCAGCTGTGAACTCTGGCACATGCAAAGGGAAGAAGGAGGTTTGAATTACCCGGATTCCAGCTCCCTGTCTTCAAGTAGGGTAGTAGACGCTGGATGGTAGGCATGTGGCCCAGCCTGCTGGTTCTGCTGGACCCTTCTCGGGTTCTCAAAAATATCTGACACTGTTAGGCTGCGGTCATGGGCCCTCTACATCCCTTTCCAAACCTGTGAGGACAGAATCAGGTCTCAGGAAGATGTGCAGGGCACCACGCTCAGGACCCTCAGCCTCAGTCTTTTTCTGTGGATCACGGATGTAGCACAGGTTCTGAGCCCTCGAGCCTCCTTCCTCAGGAAAAAAGAACAATAATCAAACCTCCTCTCTGCTATAGATACTGCAGTGCTGTCAAAGCAGCTGAGCCACTGGGGTATGCTGCAGACAGCATTGCTTTTTCAGGGCGCAGCTTGGCCTGGGGCGGAGCAAGGGTGTTGTGACACTGGATTGGATATGTGTGTGACCCTGGGCCAAGTGACTAACAAGGGGAGCTGCCAGTTAGCTATTGGCTCATAATGCATTTATTTGGCAGATGTTACTGTGTGCCAAGAGTGTCAGGCACCGGAAACACAGTAATGGACAAGTGGAAGTCATGGTCCTGTGGAGGAGGAGGAAGGTAACCAAACAAACCAGGAAAGTTTCAGACAGTGAAAGTACTATGAAGAGCACACTGCAGAATGACAGGGAGAGACTGACTGCTTTGGAGGCAGCTATCTGAGTCTGTTTGAACATCATGTAACAGTGAAATAAATACACCCATGGTATATTTATAAATGGTTCCATGTCATAAGCTATAAAGAAAACCCCAACAGAAAAACAAAGATCTTAACAGCCACTGTTTAACCAAAATGCAATCAGAGCTTAAATTAAGAAACAAAAGGAAAACAAAGCAGTAAAAGCTCTCCACTTAGAGACTTAAGACAGAAGTGTTCTTAAAATTCTTGGAATACAAGGGAATCAAAGTGGTATTACAGACTATTTAGTAATAAACAACAATCAGGCAGTACATGTAAGAATTTGGAAGCAAGAAAGGACAGGAAGATGTATGTCCTTATGTCACTCAGAGTGTAAAAGGATGAAGACAAGTTAGCTGATTGTCTAGGCATCCTGGCTTGTGTCTAGATGCCGCTGCCCCCAGGCCTCATGCTGTCCTGGGACTTCTTCAGAGATGGCTGAGTGCAGAGTGTCTGATGCTGGGATCAAGGGTGTGTGGTTAGTAAATAAACCCAAGATTGTTTTGGCATAGTGCAAGCTAAGATTAAGGGTGGGAGTGCTATGCCTGCTCTAGGGCATGTAGCCTGCATACAACATAACATAAGGGGCAAATGGAGTCTTGTCTCCCTGCATTGCTATTGGCTGTCATCCACCACCATGAACAGTTACCGCTTTGCTGTGTGCCACCTGCCTTGGAGCCAGCTGATTATGGACTGAAACCTCCTCAAACTGTGAGCTAAAAACCTTTTCTCCTTTAACTTTGGGTGTCTACTCTTTTGTCTCAGCAAGTAGAAAAGTAACTAACACAGAATTTTGGTACTAGAAGTGCAGTCTTTGCTGTGACTGTACCTGACCATGTGGTTCAGGAGCCTTTGGGAATGGTTGTGGGAAGAGTTTGGAAAGGTTTAGAGATGCTGGTTGAAAAAGTGGCACTGGGACACCTTAGCTGTACTGTATGGGAGATTTTTATCAGAGTTCAGAAGATCAGAGACCCAATAAAGACAAGGCTCAGTAGGTTACAGTAGGAAGAAGGACTGCACTGGCTGCAGGACTACAGGCAATGTGTGTTATGACTTGAAAAAAAGTTTATCTGCATTTTTCTTATGTCCAGAGACTTTGTCTGAGATAAAGGGTGGTGAACTAAATAATCTTGTAGAAGTAATTGTAAGGCAGTCAAATATTGAGGTGGTGGCATAGTTACTATTTGGGTCTTTTAGCCAAATTTATGTTGCAAATCAAGAGCAAAGAGCAGATCCCAGCAGAATGATTTTAAAAAGTTTTGAGTTTGGCTAGCAAGGAAACTCTAGTAAAGCTGTGAACTGCAAAGACAGATCTGGAGAGGCCTTGGTTGCTGAGAAGTCGTATAGTAAAGATAGCCTGAGAACATCACAAGAAGCAGCAGAACCCTGGCCTTTGCCGCCTCAAAACTGCAAGAGTGAAAGACTTTGCTTTGAGAAGAGACCCCCAGAGCACCATGTTCCAGAATGGCAGAGGCCCAGAGACTTTACTGTTTGGAAACAGGTACCGAGTGCTCAGCAATGCAGGCTCTCAACTGCTTCAGCCATGAGAGAGAAAACCCTGCCGACAGCCCCAGCTGGCAGCAGACCTTGGTGCTAGCCTTTAGGCACATACAGAATGCAAGAGTTGAGTCAGGATGGCGTGTCAGATTTTAAAAGAAGGCCTGGGAGGCCAGGCAGTGTGGCCCTGAAAGGGCAGTGTGTGAATCTGTGAGTGTGAAACCAAAGGTCCAGTGGAGACCTCAGTAGTTTAGAGAATCCTGGAATGTGGATCATCCAAGGAAGCCTGCAAGAAGGGAGCAGAGTGAGTCCAAGAGAGACGCCATGGAAGCTACGACCATCAGCAATGTCTTAGGGGCCAGCCACTCCAACCTTTTGAAGGTCACAACTTGCCACAGATTATCAACTGTATTGGAACTCAGGACGTAATGCTTGTTCTGCTGGATTTTGGCCTTGCTTTGGTCCCATTTCTTTGTATCCCCCTGTTTGGAACTTTTGGGATGGAAATGTCTGTCTTGTGCCATTGAATGTTGGAAGTGAACTTTCTTTTCCTTTATAGGGGGCTTGCAACAACAAGTTACCCTTAAATCTCAGAGGGGACATTGGACTTTGACTGGTCAGCTATGTTTAAATTGCTAGGACTTCGACAACTCTTAGAGATGGACTAAATCCCTTCTACGTGAAGGAAGGTGCATGAGTCTTTTGGGGGCCAGGGACAGAATGTTAGATGTCTCCTCAGAGCCTCAGGCAGTCATGGGTCTTTCAGAGGCTACTGAGGCTAGAGTGTGTGATGCTGGGATTAAGGGTGAGAGACCGTAAATAAGCACTGATCGGTGTGGCGCAGTTCTGGCCAGGATGGGGTGTGAGTGCCGCACCCTCCCAGGGGGGTAGCCTGCCTGTAGGGTAGGGGACAGAAAGAGTCTTGTCTCCCTTTGTTGCTTGTGG